GTAAGGGTATTTTTGGATTTTTGCCCTTGCTATTTTAGATAAAGATTATTCCTAAGATAACATTATTGATAACAGATAGTTGTAGCATTTATCTTCAAACACAAAATACAAAATAATAATGTATGATGGTTCAGCTTAAAATAAAACACATAAGAAACTTTATTATGAGCCAATTCAAAATATAATGTTTGATAATTTTGTTTTGATCGTATTTGTTGAAACAAAGTATTCATATTGAAAACTCAACTAAGAATACATTCATTGTGCATTTACAAGTAGATAATTATTCAGCACTTAAATAATCAAAACATTTTCAGGAATGCATTCATTGAACTTATAAATACATATTTATTCAACAAAAGTAGAAATTATTCTCGTTGACTGTAGTAGACTTGACATCTACCATTAGCAAAGGGTGTGAACCCATACTCGTTGACTTTAGTAGACTTTGACATTCATCATTAGCAAAGGGTGTGAACCCACACTCCTTGACCATAATAGACTTTGACATCTACCATTAGCAGAGGGTGTGAACCCATACTCGTTGACTGTAGTAGACTTTGCTATCTACCATTAGCAAAGGGTGTGAACCCATTCTTGTTGACTGTAGCATACTTTGACATCCACCATTAGCAAAGGATGTGAACCCATTCTTGTTGACTTTAGTAGACTTTGACATCTACCATTAGCAGAGGGTGTGAACCCATACTCGTTGACTGTAGTAGACTTTGCTATCTACCATTAGCAAAGGGAGTGAAGCCACACTCGTTGACTGTATTTGACTTTGCTATCTACCATTAGCAAAGGGTGCGAACCCATTCTTGTTGACTGTAGCAGACTTTGACATCCACCATTAGCAAAGGGTGTGAACCCATTCTTGTTGACTGTAGCAGACTTTGACATCTACCATTAGCAAAGGGTGTGAACCTGGCCATTCTTGTTGACTGTGGCAGACTTTGACATCTACCATTAGCAAAGGGTGTAAACCTGGCCATTCTTGTTGACTGTAGTAGACTTTGACATCTACCATTAGCAAAGGGTGTGCACCCATTCTTGTTGACTGTAGCAGACTTTGACATATACCATTAGCAAAGGGTGTAAACCCATTCTCGTTGACTGTAGTAGACTTTGACATCCACCATTAGCAAAGGGTGTAAACCCATTCTTGTTGACTGTAGTAGACTTTGACATCCACTATTAGCAAAGGATGTAAACCCATTCTTGTTGACTGTAGTAGACTTTGACATCCACCATTAGCAAAGGGTGTGATCCCATACTCATTGACTGTAGTAGACTTTGACATCCACCATTAGCAAAGGGTGTGAACCCATACTCGTTGACTGTAGTAGACTTTGACATCCACCATTAGCAAAGGGTGTGAACCCATTCTTGTTGACTGTAGGAGACGTGGACATCTACCATTGACAGTATAAAGGTTATATAAGGGTTGCGGCCCTTGTCCTGAAAATATTCTGCAAGCATTTTGCATGCTTTCTCTCAGAGAGAGGAGGTGTTGACATCTCAACTGCTTTCTAATAATTCTTCTGTTTAATAGGAATTAAAAATCCTAACAACTTATTATTTAATGTTCAATGAAGAATTCCCTGAAATGGACATTCTAATGGTCAGAAATAATCAATCCTTTTTAAAAAATGGTTTTTGGTAGGCTTAGTTAATAACTTATTTAGGCAGAAATGAATGAGTCGCGTCTCAAATCCGCAAAAAAACCGGTTTCAATTGAGCCCCAGCTTAATTCTTAAAGTATTGAATACAATTTTAAGTGAAACCAGCCATATTTGAGCCGCGTCTTAAATTTAAGCCGCGGCTCAAATTCTTTAAGTAAGGCCTCAGGTCCATGATAAAACCAGATCTTAACAAAGGAATATGATTTATTCTTAGAAAAGTTAGAGCTGATGTAAATTTAAACTCCTCTAGATTTAAAGATAACCATTGGTTAACGCTCTCGGGTATATCATTGAATTTAATTCTATTTTTATGAGAGCAAATATTTTTTTTATTTATTCTTTTGAATATAATTCTTGTTCTATTATTAGGTTTAGTTTAAATCAAAAAATATCCTTATATCTGTTTAAGAGATATTTTATTTTTTTATTTTTATGTAATTCTTTTATTCTAAGGTAAAATATTTGGTATTTGATTACGATATGGTTGAATGACACCCCCTTCATACGCAACTTTGTCTCCAGGAAATGACAATAAACGGTCTATAATTGTAAACAGATGTTTTACATAATTATCCCCCCCTCCCCCACACCCTTTGATAAACTCTTCAAGTAAGCCGGTAACAAATAAAAAATATAAAATATTTTTTATAAAGGAAATTTTAAGATTATGAATAATTCGGAGACCATCGTAACATCAGACCTCTCATTAAATGATAACTATTTATCATGCGGGACAATATATTTTTTGATTTGATTTTGATGGATTTTTACTTTTTTTGCTTGTTTAAGGTTTAAATTTGAGATTTTTAATCACGAACGTGGTGAGGGATTACAAATCTTGAGTTTAAACCGAAAACAAACAAAAAAGTAAAAATTACAACAAAAAACATAGTTGATAAAGAAAGTTTGATATATAAATTTATTTAATTCAAGTTTTATATAGAAATGTTCGATTTTTTATCGAAATCCGCGAAATAAAAAAGGTATCAAATGTTACTTATTTGTCTCGGAACAAATAAGAAACTTTTTATTACAAGATCATGAAATTATGATTATTAATGTGGGATAAAAATTCACTCAAAATAAAAAAAAATGTATATCGGTTTGAAAAGACCTCAAGCGTAGTTGGAAGTTATCCTCTATGCAAATATGGTAATTTCTGATTCACAACAATACCCTTTAAAGATTTGTCTGATTAAGTGTGAATTAGATATCAATGTTTTTCGTTTAAAAATCTGATTATTCTTAATTTTGGTTTCTCTACAAAAATGACTTGCGCATTTCTACTGCAGGAAAACATATAGAAATTATCCTAAATAAGAAGATTAAGGGTTTCCAGTAAAAAACTGTAACAATAAAGGGAAGTTTTTGTAAATAAAAGGGGTCACCGATGAGGAGAAAAGGGTTTTTGATAAGAGGAGGGGGTAACTTTTTATAAGATAATAATCATTGGACATATTTGGGTTTTGGAAGGTTCTAACCATTGGTATTTTGGGTTTTCGAATTTTTTTTTATTTATACTCCTAAAGTTAAATTAATAAATAATCTTTTCTTAACTTTTAACCATTCGGATTCAAGAATAAGTTTCGAAAAACTAAACTAATCTTTTTAACTTTGAACTATTTTTGACATTTTATACCTTTTATTCTTTTGTTTTTTTTCCTTGTCATTTTTCAGGATAATATTGTGTTCGTAATTTAACTCTGTTTTTTGTTGCTTGAATGCATTTCTGGTTTTAATAGTATTGTTTTGTCATATCAATGCTTCAGTTAATTGCATTTAAGAGTTTAGTATTGTTCGCTATATTTTTAAAAGAATTGTGAGCAGAATTAAAAGGACCTTTATCAAAATTTGAGTGAATTAAAGTTAAAGTTAAAAACGAGTTTTTGTCTTATGAAAAGGGGGAGGGTTAATATTGGGAATTTTCTTACTTAATTCGTAAAAATTAAAACCTCATAAATCGCGTTTTTGATTTACACTTTGATGGACGTCTTTTCAAGTATTTTTATTTGTATCATATATTTAGTATAAGTAAAAAATATGTTTCCCTCCTTGAAGATAAAAAATAATATATTTTTTTCTAATAAATTGGAATATTTTTATGAAAATATAGCTTGGGAACCCAGCACTGTCAAGGTTACTCTTACTAAAAGTTACTTCCGCTGTTTACCCGCACCTGATTTTACCGTGAAACTAAATTTTCACTATTTAAGTCGACCCACTCAACTTAGAATCTTTAAACCAAGCTAAGAGCATTTCCGTGGGCCTCCCGAGTTCTCTAATCAAAATTTGAGGCAAATCGGCCCAGGGGTTCTTTAGTTATGATCGGACAAACAAACAGACAGACAATCAGAGATTACAACTCTATATATATAGATAACCATGTTTTAGCTTTGGTTTAAAGGGAGTGTGCCTGAAATTTGAATTGGTCAGGGCATCCGATGTTGATTTGATAAAGACCTCCCAACGCAATGAAAGAGTGATAAAAGTCAATATCAAAGAATGGTTAGCGAAAGGAATTGAGTCTTTGTCACAGACTCAAAAGTTATAATCCCTATATCTTTGTAACCTTATGGCATAAGCTTTTGATATTTTAAACTTAGATTCTTTAATCAAACAGAATTCATAGTTTGAAGTATCTAAGGTCCACGACATTGGATTGCTCAGATATAGAGATTAGAAAATCAGAGTTTTTGGCAAATACTTAAATCCTTTGTATCCATTCCTTTATTCAATTTTGAAAACATAAGGCAAGCGGATAATGAATATCATCCTTAACACATCACGCTTACTAGAATCAGAGAGTACGGTTTGTGAATTGTACATATCAGAGAGTACGGTTTGTGAATTGTACATATATAATTCTCATGGTAAATCTTAAAACTAAATGAAATAGTTGAAACTTTACATCCGAGGGATCGAAAAAAGAGTATAATAATATGGATCAATAACAGAATTTTAATCCATCAAATTTTGCATAATTTGACAATAAATATTAAATAAATGCATTGTGATGTTAACTCTATGCATAATTCTTACCAAATATGGTTGAAAATTATAAAAATTTAACATCCTTATGTCTTTTATTCTTTCATTTTGATTGTGAATTTTTATATTTTTATTTTGTTGCTTCCAGTTGTATTGAATTCTTCTGTTATTTTTTATCACATGCTTATGTTGAACCTATGTGAACTCAAAAAGATTGTAAATCTCTTTTTTTTATAAAAATAAAATCCATCTGATTTGTTGAAAAGTTGACTAGAAAACCAGCTTTTTCTCCCTCTCAATTTTTTTATACTTTTTCTATATTTTCAGTACTCCACGGAACCGAAGTACCGCTAGTTTTGCCTCTGCCCTTTATCAGTCTGGTAACCCAGCTAGCTTTAACTCTAGTGGAAGGTAATTTTTTTCCCAGATTATAGATATTTTTAAGAATTTTTTAGATTTTAATCAAAACTTCTGATTTTAATCTCGATTTTCATAGATTTTCTTCCAGATTTTTTGCCCAATTGGTCGAATTTTTATTCCAGATTATTCGAGATTTTATTTTAGATTTGTATAGATTCTATTCAAAATTTGTATAATATTATTTCTAGATTTGTATAGATGTTATTAACCAGATATTTATAGATTTTATTCAAGTTTTATTCACGAATATTTTTTACATTTTATTTAAGATTTTTTGAGATATTAAAATATTCTAAGATAGAAAAACGGGATTGCACCATATTTTTTACTCAGAGAGTACGGTTTGTGAATTGTACATATCAGAGAGTACGGTTTGTGAATTGTACATATCAGAGAGTACGGTTTGTGAATTGTACATATCAGAGAGTACGGTTTGTGAATTGTACATATCAGAGAGTACGGTTTGTGAATTGTACATATGACTCTATAATTGTTTGGTTAATTTTAATTACTAGTTAACGAGGGGAGGAAGGCCAGCCACAACCATTTCTAGTCCGAACCACATTCTCCTCATTTTCTCGTCCGAGCCACCTCGAAATCCTCGTCCTTTGATTATTATGTGTTTTCAACTTTTTAATTCTTGAGATAAAACTATTTTTTTTAAAATCTGGTTAACTATAGTTCTGCCTCCATAAACCAATTCACGATATAAAATGTATAACAAAATATATGGCAAACCTCTGCCTATAATTTTTTCCATTGAACTATCCGGAAAAAATCTATGGTTTTCACTATGATTATTAAAAAAAAAAGATTAAAGTTCTATAAACTGGGAATTATTTGCGGCATTCTACAACGGGAATATCTGAAAATGCGCGTAAAAAGGTGAACATGTTCAAAGACATTCAACTCAAAAACTTTAAGTCAATTGAAACTTTTTTTCTATTTACAAAAATTCAATATTTCAGTTATGCCCTAACATTTTGATTCTTAAAAAATAGTTTTATTTTGGAGAATTAGACACACAAAAATAATACTGGAAGGAATGAAGAGAATGTGGCTCGGACGAGAAATTTTTGTGGCCGGCCTTCCTCCCCTCATTTAACTAATCAATAGAAGTCATACAGCAAAGGAAAATGACCAAAACTATTTTTTTCATCTATTATACAAGATTATAATATTAATAACTTTTTTATTTTCTATTTCTTTTAGAATTAGTTTTATTCTTTTTTATCTGTTTTTGTCCCTTTGCTATCTACCATTAGCAAAGGGTGTGAACCCATTCTTGTTGACTGTAGCATACTTTGACATCTACCATTAGCAAAGGGTGTGAACCCATCCTTGTTGACTGTAGTAGACTTTGACATCCACCATTAGCAAAGGGTGTGAACCCATACT